CCCCCCCCCGAACGGGTCCAAATCGATATCCGTTTACGTTTCTGGAATTAGACAGTCAAGACGAATATTATGGTGTGATCAAATAATTTTTCTAAAGACTTTATTTTTCCCAACCCCGGTCCGAGTTAGTAATTAATTAATTAAATTAATGAATTCTAATAGACCGAGTCTCAGGGCGTTACACTTTGCAAGTGACCTTTTAGATTTTTCCTTCTCTGAGAAACGTTCCATTCCATAATGTGTTGATTTAGATTTAAAATACTTATAGGAATTGGTCCATCAACTGCATAGGCCTTTTATCATTGTCTAGCCCAACAACTATCTTAATCAGTTTTCTATTATTGTTTTTTGAGTGAATTTTCAAAACAATCATTTCTAATGCCATGTTTTTCTAAATCACTCCTCAATAAACCATAATTACGAACATGGTCATTTATAATCTAGAAATATTCCCTAAATAATAATCTGTCAAAAATACATATTAAATGAGAGTTACATGATCATTGGGTCCACATTCATTTTGTGGATATTACTTATAAACATTATAAAAGAATTGATATTTTAAAAAAATAAAAAAAATATGCATGTCCGGTCATGAAAAATCTAAGAAGACCTACTTTTTTTTAATGAAATAAGATCTATATTCTAAGGCCATGTTCTCTTCACCTGATCTGAATGGTTCTGATCTGATTGGAATAAGTTCTGTTTTAGGTTAATCATGTCTGATCTGAATTTAATTATATTTAAATATATTTCAGATCTGATCTTGATTCTAATTATAATAAGAAATACGGAGTAAGAAAAAAGTGTAATTTGAGGAGAACATAGCCTAAATGTGAATTTTATGATCACAAAAACACAATTGAATAGTCTTTCATTAGGCTAAATTTCACTATTGGTCTTTCAAGTATTGAGTCATGCATGGTTTGTCCTTCAACTTTGAAAAATTATGAATAGTGCTTCAAGTTATATTAGCGTTGCGTAAACAATCCTTCAACATTGAAAATTCCACGAATAATCCTTCATGTCACGGTAGCGTTGCATGGTTGGTCTTTCCATTAGTTTTGTCGTTACTTGATACATATTTTTTCATTTTAATTACATGTGAGGAACTCTTTTTTCTTCATATAACTAAACCAACCATATAGGTCCATTTTTAGTAATAATAGTTACTCTTACTGTAATTACTCTAATTTTTTAAATTAAATAAGTTATTTTTTCTTTTATTAGTTTAATTTTATAAAACAATTCTCACTCTGACTTAAAGTATCTATAAAATTTTGACTCGTTACAGTCAGCCAAGTACATTTTTACCATAATTTAATTAAAATGAATCTACAAAAAGTATGACTCAATTGTATTGTATGAAAAAAAGAAGGTTCTTCACGTATATTTATCATGAAAAACAAAAAAGTGCATGCAATAACAACAAAATTAACGAAAGGACTAACCACGTAACACTAACGTGACTTGAAGGACTTTTCGTGAAATTTTTAAAGTTGAAAGACTAACCACGCAACACTTACATGATTTAAAGGACTATTCGTGAAATTTTTAAAATTGTATGACTAATCGTACATGACGCAATAACTTGAAAGACAGTTTAGGCCTTTCAAAAATAATCATCAATATATGGGAAGATGTAAAATCTTCATACATCAAATCTTTTCACATTCTCACACATGATCTCTTACTTAAATTTGAGTTTGTTAATTTTCTTCACGTTATGTTTTGATTTTTTTTATTTTTGGCATGGCTAATAGTTCCTTGCATTTACTTACTAAACTACAATAAATTGATTTGAACTATAATTACGTTAGTTATAATTTTAATTGAAAATAAGTGAAAAAAGATTGCTGGTATTGGCGGGGGAATCTGCAGGGTAATTATTCTGTTAAAGATGGGTATCGCAAGCTTATAGGAGAGGCAACCCATGTTGCACTATTTACAAACTAGGGCAGATTCTGGCGTATTTGAGTTACTCCAAAAGTGAAAGTCTCTATTTGGAGGGCATTAAGGGGAGTTCTTCCCACCATGGGAGCTCTCAATTTGAAAAGAGTGATGATTGAAGATAAATCCCCTCTGTGTGGTATTGACGAGGAGACGGTGGATCATCTCATATTGAGGTGCCCGTTTACGGAAGCGGTGTGGAGCTTGACGGGTAAGGGGGGAGGACGTGATTCTTTTTTTAATTTTTTTTCCTTTCAGGCACGCTCCCAGGTAGACTTGCTTGGAGATTTGCAAGTCGTGTGCTGGACAATCTGGAGCATTTGGAGGGTCAGAAATGATGTGGTGTGGAATTGGAGTGCTCCTCAATCCATTTCCGCAAACAGACTCACCATGGACATGTATAAAGCATGATGTGATCGGCTTCTTGGTGGTCAAACAGAGGAGCACACTCATACGGGGACAACGGATACATTGCTACAGTCGCGAAGGAGTAGACGATGCCGGTTCGATGCCGCACTCTTTCCTCACTGCTTGTTTTGGTTGTTACATATTATTCGCAGACGGCTCTTTTAGGATTGCTTTTAACGGGCCGATTCGAAGCACCCAAGACCCAGCGATTGCAGAAATCATGGCTTGCAAAGACGTACTATCTTGGCATAAAAATAATAGTTTTCGGGATGTTCACTGTTCTCAAACTGTTTGAATTTGGTTAAATCTTTGCAAGAGGGAAATGAAGCTTCCTATCGTTCTTATTTTGGTGCTTTTGTTGATGATTGCTTTTCGCTTATGGCGTATTTTGATGTTCTTACTTTATCTTTTATTCGTCGGGAGTGTAATAGAAAGGCTCATTCTTTGGCAAGAAGAGCCAGAACTCAATTTCGGGAGTGGGATTCCCCTCCTAGTTTTGTTTGATTTTTAATGGAACGATTATTTATTTGGTTAAAAAAAGTGAAAAAGGATTATTACCTCTTGTTCGTAAATTCATGTTCAACATCTGTAGTTCTGTCTAGCCTTAAAAATAGCCCTGGCAATCGGGTCAAGCAATTTATTTTACTAAACTTATGTTTAATTTATTTTGAGTATATGTTGTAGCCAATTTTTTCAGATTGAACTTGGTTCTTTATATTTTTCAATCTAATTATGGTTAAGTTTAGTAATAATTTACTAATGAAGGTAGATATCAATTTGTATAGATAAAACATTTTGTGTTGTAATAATGTACTTTTCTTTACCGTATGTAAATTGAAATTGAGAAACTATTTACCGAGCGGAGAATGTCCGGCAGCAAATTCAATTCCAAGTTTGTTTTTCCATGTCTACAGCATGTAGCTTTTTGGGTAGAACGCACCCCTCGGGCACTCCCACACTCCGACTCGACATAATAGTGAGGGAAGTAAATTATGATATACGGAGTAATTTTAATCTGTTCCTTATAGAGGTTGCCCTGTGTCCAGTACACACAAGGAGTTAATACAAAAAATAGAACTTTCATACTGTCGCTGCCAAAATTTGACCCAAAAATCAATGGGTTTGATATCCTCTCCTTGGTTGAACTACCCATGTGGGCTAACAACTACTACCTCCGTCCCGTGAAACATTTCCCCTTTCTTTTTTTATCCGTCCCACAAAACACTTCTCATTTCATAATTTTTCAGTGAAAATGGGGAATGAAAAAGTATGGGATTGATAGTGTAGTATGGAAAAATGATTATTAGATAGGTAGTTTAGTATGAAAATGGGTAGTGTAGTTTCCTGTAAAAACCTTTAAGAATACCAAAATACACTCCCTTAAATCCCTCCTAAAAAGCAAATGTCCCATGTTTCACGGGACGGAGGTAGTAGCTTTTTGGAGCTTCTATCATTGTAGTTGAATGTCAAGTACCTAGTATTTCTTATACTCCCTCTGTTAAAAAATTGTTTTCCTGGTTTGACTTGGCATGAAGATTAAGAAAAGTTAAAAAATGTATTGCCCGTGATGTGATGGAATAAAGTGAATAATGTAGAAAAGAAAGTAAGAGTATAATGATACATTCATTAAAAATCTTTTCCCAAAACAGGAAAGGAGAAAAAAAATAGACAACCCAAAAAAAGTGAAAAAGAAGTTAATGAAATTAAGAGCCTTTCTTGAGTAGTACAACGTATCTATACTTGGGTTAGCTTTGGATTTTTAAATGGTGCAAATCAAGTTTAAAAATATGAACGTTCTCGTTAAAAAAGACTTTTCATAATTCTGAAATTGTTGAAAAATGAAAATGAACACTCATTTTTCTTCATTTTAAAATTTGTCTCTACATTACCCTATCCTTTTCTCAATTTCTATAATGAATGAAAAGAATATATTGACAATTAGTGAACATTTTTAATGTTGCCGTAATTATAAGGGATACCCTTAATGTCAAGAGTAATAATGACAAACAAATACTTTGTAATCAAGTAACTCATCCTTTAATTTGGTCAAAAGGTAATATGATGTAGCTTATCAATTACGGAGTTCGAGTTTAAGTTATATAGTGAGAACTTGGTACTACCTCCCTTCCTAAATAATTATTGAGCATTGATTTTTTTACACTAAAATATTTTCAAATTGATTTTTTTTACACTAAAATATTTTCAAGTTTTATTTTATAATTAAATAAAATATATATTGTATATTAATTAGCTAAAATAATATTTCAAATATATTTTATAAAATAAATCTAATAAAATTATTTTGTATCAATATCTAATATCACTTTCGTTTAAATTGTGGTCAAAACTTACCTATTTAGAGACAATAATAGTAATTCTTAATCTGAAATAACCTATCACCTGCTACAAATTTCAAATACGCGAAATGAAGAAACCAATAATTTTATTGTTACAATTGTTCTTTTTGTTACTCGGTATTTGACATGTATGTAAAATAATGTAGCTTATCAATGTAGAATGGATCGACATGTATATGTCACGTTCTAACATATACAAATAGTATCTCGTCAAGATCTTAAAGAAAATGTATGATACATAATGTAGAATGGATCAACATTATGCAAATGTAACTCAGGAAAAATGAAATAGTTGTATCTTATCCACCGATTCCAAAGACGTACTCTATAGAGAAAAACGCCAATATTTTACATAACCTGTCTGTCTTGATATGTATACAACACGAATAGCAAATGATAGGTTCTCTGAAAAAATAAATTAAATGAAACAATTATTGTCATAAAAGATGGGTAGAAATATATATGCTCTCTTTGTTTCAAAAAAAAAACTTTACTCGATCTTACTTTTATGAAGTTCAAAACAACCAATTGAAAAAATAGAATTGTATCATTAGAATTTATTTATATAAAAGATATTGTGAATATTTGTTTTTTTTGAAACGTTCAAAATGTAAAAATGAATAATGTTTTTTTTGGGAGGAGGATATAGAGTAGGTTCTAGAACGTACGGAAGGAAATTCTACAGAACGCGGCTACAATTTTCTGGGCCGAAGCCCACTCGGTATTTGGTCAAGTCAAATTCCACCCAGAGGTTTTGCTGGTGGAAGTTTCCGATGATGTTGCTCGCGACATTTAGCATCTCCGACGATCCGATCCCCAAGCAGGATATGCCTTTCTCGACCTCGTCCGCCATCCTCTCCTCCGGGATCAGGATCTCGGCGCCGGTATCGAATGCCAACGTCATGTTGCCGACCACCCGTCCGATCTCCCTCGGGCTCCCGTTGAAGCACATCTCCAGGCCGCCGATCGTCGTTTTTGCGGACTTCAATTTGCCCCGGACCCGACTGCTGACTTCGCTCGCGACCGTGTTGTACGCGTCGGCGACCAGATACGTGTACTCCGTCCCGGAGTCGATCATCGTCTGGCCGCTCCCGGTATGGTCCGGGACGAATGCGGTTGGGTTGATTTTCAGGAGAGTTCCGGCGATTCTGATCCCGGTCATGTTGACGGTGTAGGCGAATTCATCGAGGCTGGGCAAGGTCTTCTGGGACTCCGTGAAATTCAACAGATATGTGTAACTGAAATTGGACGCGCTCAGGTTGGGGCCCAGAATGAACGCGCCGTCGTGATTTTTCCCGGCGAGATCGCGCCGGAGCGGAACGCAGTAGGAGAAAATGCGCTCTCCCGTTTGGGAAGGGAAGGAGAGATTGTCTTGGTTCATCCCCAAAATGCCCTCCGCGTTTTTCAGATTATCGGCACACCCAATGGTGACGAGGGGGTTGTTGGGGGGCTGCGATTTGGAGAGGGAGAAAACCTCGTTGACCAAACTGCCCTCGCCCGGCGTTCCGTCCGCGTAGAAAAGGCTGTAGCGGCAGGGGCCGCCTTTCCCCTCGCAGGATGTGAACAGGGTGGAACTCGGAATTCGGGGCGTGCAGGTGTTGTTGTCCTTGCTGCAAGAAATGGGGAAGAAAGAAGAGGACATGGAGGGGACAAAAGGACGGGGAGGGTTGGGGCGACGACGAGTCGACTCGTTCGTCCGAGTCTGCATCGTCCGGTTGCAGTCAATCCACGACAGCTGGCTGCCGGTGTCAAGAACCATGCTTTGGTTCTGCGGCGGCGTCCCTATGGGGAGGGAAAGGATGAGAGCATACGTGTACTTAAATGTCGAGCTGTAATTGCCCGAATATTCAGAACCCCTCAGAGACTGCCGGAACGCCGCCACCGTCTTCCCTGTTGAAGAAGGAGAAGGCCCGCGCGTCTTGCGAACCCCGGCCAGAGGAAACAAAAGTGACTGAGATTCGCCGTGGGCGGCGGCGGCGAAAAGGGAGTTGCAGAAGACGAGCGTGAGTGCTAGCCAGAACGCGGTAAAAGAAGCCATGGGAAATTTCGGCTTCCTACAAATGTGGGGAGAATTTATCGCATGTGACCGCCCGGTCCCGGAGAGGGTGATATTTGTCCTTTTATACGGAGTATTCATTTCTTTTTTACTCCGGTATTTTATTTTTTTGAAACCTAAGATACTACCTACATTTGGAATTAACTTTTTATTTTATTTTTTTATGAAAATTTGTACTATAAAATTAAAATTGATATATACAATTTTGAATACTGCCTCAAAAGATATACTCCGTATTCCATTTGGCATTTTCACCGTTACCGTTATGATTTATCGAAAATGTTTATTTATTTATTTATTTTTATTGATCATTTAAAAAATAAAATATTTTTGTCATATCTTGTTTTCTACTCTCTTCGTTTAAAAAAATCGAGCAATGCTACATTTACAAACAAGATACTCTCAAACTTCACAAACTTACTATTTATGGTTTAAATTTTTCATTTTAAAATTATTTTAGACTATTTAATTTTATTTATTGGAGTTCACAATTAGTAAGTTTGTGAAGTTTGTGACCATTTTGTTTGTGAACCAAGCATTATTTTAAAAAAATCATTCTTTTTTAGACTATTGAAGAAAGAAGGAGTGTATATATTATACTAGTGTTTTGACCCGTGCCATGCACGGGATGAAATTTATTTTTTTTCATTGTGACAAATTTTTCAAATATCAAACAACATAAAACATATAGAATTCGCAAATGAAAATTCTATACATACAATTAAAAATTAATATTTCAAAGTCTTATTTAAATTAGAATATTTTGAAAAATGTTGAGGTATACAGTATTTTTCACTCTCACTTGTGAAAAATGTTGAGGTAAAACTAATAATTTCATCAACTTTATTTTTACTCTAACTTGCGAAATAATAATATAAATTTAAAAATAAGTGAATACCAATTTGGTAAAAATAATATTATTAATTCCAATATTTGACATTAATTTTTTTTATAATCATAAGTCATAACAAAACATAAACTATTGAAAAATATATATATTCTTTGAAACTTCAAGAGTAATCATGTATGAAATGATACACGGAGTATAATTCATTTATGTTGTGCATGTAAACCTTTTCTAAGGCTTTATTTTCTAATGCTACAATTGCGATGAAGATTAATTTTCACAGCTTTCAATGCTTAACCTTGTACTATTATACAATTCAGAGAGAAGGTATTTTGTACAACTGGTTGTACCAAAAGCAAAATATATTTGAGTAGTATTGATTCTAAACTAAAGTAGCACTCATTCTCGCACAAATATAAACGTTCATTTTGAAATAACGTAGTACTCATTCTGAAATAACGTAATACTTATTTTCACACATTTATACAATACAATTATAACAATCATTTATGAATAAAAATATTTGTTTTTTTGAGATAATGCCAAATAAAAATATTTGTTTTTTTGTTTTTTGAGACGTTCAAAATGTAAAAAGAATAAAATTTAGAAAAAAATTAAATAGAAAACTAAGAAAGTAATCTTTAATTATTGGACGTCGGAAAAATTATTTTTAAAATATATTGACAATGTCAATCTAATTATACTTTTAAAATACATTGTTATTGTTACCTGTAATTTGAGTTTCTAAAGTTTTGATCTTTTACTATATCGAGTTGATCAACTTTGATCATGACTTAAATAAAATAAATATTTGATATTCATATATGGAATATATTTTAGTGTAACTAAAATAATTATTATATCTATGGTGTTATATTAATCATAAAAAAAGTTTTGTAATACAAAACACATGCTGATATTTTATAAGAATGAGATATTTTAATAAAAATAATATCTCTTCTCTATATTGATTATCTAAATTTAATTACTTTTTAATGTATATATGAATTAAATATTTATTCTAATGTATATATGAACTAATTATTAAAATTAAATCAATATTCTTATTTCATAAAAAAATAATCATAAAATAAAAAGTATTATTACATTATAATATGAATGATTATTCTAATATATGAATTAACTAATTTTATTTCATTAAAAAATAATCATAAAATAAAAAAATATTGATTACATTATAATATGAATTATCATTACAATTTTCAAAAGTTATTATAAAGTCAAATCAAATTATTGATTTGAATTGTTAGTCAAATCATAATTAATCAGACCAGATCAGATCAAATCAGATCAGACCAGATCCAATCATATCAGATCAAATCAAATCATATCATATCAGATCAGGTCAGAACTACAAAAAATCAGATCAGATCAGAAAAAATAAGTTGAACGGAAAGAAGGCTAAATCTTTTTTCTTAACCCAATAGATTAAAAAATGACCTTTTTGACGTCTTGAAAAAAGAGCCTTATCAAAGTACTTAATGACTACATTTTTCCTTTTTCTATAAGAGTATTTTTCTTGTGTTCTTCTTTTCTTTCATTTCCTTTTTCTATTATTTTTTTCTTTTATTTTATTTCCTTTTTTATACTCTTCTTTTTTTGAAGTTCCAAAAAAATCTACTTTTAATTTTGGAAAACAAAAATAATAATTTTTTTAATTCGAGACAAATGCAGTATATATTTAAAAAATTCATTTCATTTAATTTTTATTTCAAACACTAACAATTTTAATTTTTTTAAAGTGTGAAAAAAAGATATCTATAGAGAAAGGAGCAAAGAGGAAAAAAAGGAAAAAACTGAAAATAAATGAAAAATAGGAAATGAGATACGAAAAATAATCAAATAAAAGACTAAAATATGAGTAAAACATTGAAAATATATCAAAATAAGAGTTTCAAGTTTTTATTCAGTAAATAAGAGTTAAAATGCATATACACTGTCAATCATGACCATATATATTACCAAAAGTATTGTTAAATGTTCACATATATTGTCACATTACCACAATGCAAACTTCTATTTAGGATATATAAAAACAAGAGTTCCTATTTCTTAAAACAATGAGAGAGAGTGTACGTGCAATGTTTTAAAACCACATGAATTTTATAAATCCTTGAATATAAAATTTGAGAGTTTGGACTCTGAGAAGCTGACATTTGGCAATATAAGAATTTGACATGTGGCAATATAATTGACATTCGATGTGGTGTAATAAAGTGAGCTGAATTTAGAAAATTCCTTCCAAATTTACTTCATCTTTGATTGGTATGTTTTTATAGCATTTAGGAAAATTAAATCTTTTTTCTTTCTTAAATCGAAGTCTTTTTAAAAGGGAAAAATTCCGCCGTGCCATCTCCTTAAATCCAAAGCTATTACAAGGTATTTTGGATCAAAATAGGTAATTACCAATTTAAGTGGCAAGGTATTACGTACTCCATATACTTTTTTTGTTTTATTTTAGTCCGTATCTTAAAATATACTCCAGAGTAAGTCCAAAAAATTTTGAATTTTGAAAAAGCTACAAAATATCATAGAGTCAATGAATTTTCCATTCCGAGTAATTTCAAATTTTCCATTTCTCCATTTGTACGATGTCAATGAAATAATTGAAAATAGACAAATAATGAGTCAATCGTTCATTTATAAACTAAAAATGGGTAAATAATGAGTCAATCAGAGTAGAAAATATATTTCAAAAAGAAAATAGAGTAGAAAATAGATAAAGTGTAAATTTTTTTAGACAAATAAAAAAAGAGTTACTCTAAATAGTTCTTTTAGGAGAATATATAACCGGGTCAATCTTATGCAAAAAATGAAAAAAAATCTTCAAACGAATCGTAGACGTATACTTTTGAATACAAAAAATGTTATATACCTTTAAATGTGTTTGGTTGGGGAACAATATTTCCCAGGAAAACATAGATTCTATTTTCTTGTGTTTCGTCACATTAGTGGAAAAAAATTTTTTCTACGGAAAATATTATCCTTCAATGGGCCGGGGAAAAACAATTTACGTTAAAATAAAAGGAAACTTTTAATTCTCTTTTCACTCCATTTAAACTTTAAAATTTAAAATTTAAAATTTAAAATTTAAAATTTAAAATTTAAAATTTAAAATTTAAAATTTAAAATTTAAAATTTAAAATTTAAAATTTAAAATTTAAAATTTAAAATTTAAAATTTAAAATTTAAAATTTAAAATTTAAAATTTAAAATTTAAAATTTAAAATTTAAAATTTAAAATTTAAAATTTAAAATTAAAAATTTAAAATTTAAAATTTAAAATTTAAAATTTAAAATTTAAAATTTAAAATTTAAAATTTAAAATTTAAAATTTAAAATTTAAAATTTAAAATTTAAAATTTAAAATTTAAAATTTAAAATTTAAAATTTAAAATTTAAAATTTAAAATTTAAAATTTAAAATTTAAAATTTAAAATTTAAAAATTTAATATTTACAATTTAACATTTTATATCTAAAATTTTATTACTATAATATAATTTTAAAATTATAAAACTTAAAATTCAAAATTTAAAGTCTCTAATTAAAATTTAAGATTTGAAATTTAAAATTTATAATTTAAAACATAAAATATATTCCCATTGAAGCAAAACCTAGCACAAGCTTAATGTTTCAAAATGTTCTAATTTAAATAAGAGCTTGACATGTTAATTTTATAATAAATATATTATAATTTTCATCAGAAAATATTATACTCTCTCTGTTCCACAAAATCTTCTCCTTTCTTTTTTCATCCGTCCCCAAAAATCATTCTCGTTTCTATTAGAAAATCATTTTTACTCCTAATTTTGAACATTTCTATCACATCACATTTTTTAGTATTAATCTACTCATCACATCTTACTTTTACACATCACATTCAAGGATATTTTTGGAAGGACAACACCAAAATATTTTTCCCTTAAATCTTATAAAAGTCAAAACCAAAAAGGTTTTGTGGGACGAGTGAGTTTATTTTATCATTATTTTAACTTTTAAGGTTGATATTTTATTTTGTTCGACTTTTTAAGAATGTTGTAGCAAAGAAAACTTAAAAATTCGAAACAAAAAGTTCGTTCCACCCTGTTGCGTAGTTGCCAAAAGTAAAGATTGTCAAGGGGGTAAGACCCGAGTTTGATTACAAACAACTGTGATGGTAGGCAATAATGCTAAGCATGAGGCCTCCATAAGTACCGGATTCAAAGTTTAATTTATCTTCTCTCAATAACTGTTTGACCAGGTCTTAGAGGCCCTCAGGGATGAGGCTTATCCTTTTCTTAAATATATAAATGATTATTAATA